TTTCTTAACTTGGTTAGGTGGACAGTTTTTGCAGTGTATAGGGGGGTTCCTCCTGCTGAAGTCCACAACACGGGAAAAAAAATCAGAGACTCGTCACCCGATGTTATTTACTCACAAATCTGTCACGATTAAAGCTCCAAAGTTTTTATCAGTAAGATTCCACCGTGCAAAATGCTTGTTTTATCTCCAGCCACGTGTTTTTGGTCGTTTGACTCTCTCTATAAATCACCGCTTCCTGCTACAACAATTAGGTCGCTTTTTTTATTTATTTATTTTTATTTATTTTATTTTTTTGAAGCAAGCAGTTACAACAAAAGGCAGTGTCTGAGCTCTTTCAGCACAAACATACACTCCCACGAGCTTCTGACCAATCAGACAATAAGTTCTTATGTGAAGGGGAATAAAAAGTTTGACCAGCGGGTTGTGTCGAGAATAGGCATGGGACGGTATGAAATTATGACGGTATGATAACCTTGGTCAAAAATATCACGGTTTCGTGGTATGACGGTATTATGATTACAACTCTAAAAATGTTGTTTTGAAATCTGTATTTAAAAACAACAACAACTTTTCTATTATCATATTCAACGTTAATTATCTTTGGAAGCTGTTTTTAGATCTCAGAGGTGTAATGCTGACATTTTATTTACCTGTGTTTATTTATACTTGTGATTTTTAGCACCTGATGCAATTAGATTATCCTGATAAAGTTTACATCTAGAAAGATTATTGCTTTTCTATTGCTTTATTATTTAAGACAAATCAGTGTATACTGCATGACAAGTCTTTTTATTGAAGTAATGTATCAAGTTTTTATCCTGTTTTAAATGATAAAGGGGTTTTTAAGATTATATAATTATACGCACACAGAAACAAGAAATAACTATGAATGTGTTTATGAAACGCACGTTCAGCTAACGAGCTGCTCGGCTAAAGGAGGCATTCAGTTTTATCATCTTTCACTTAAAACTTATCAAATACACAATCCAACAACTCAAATAGTTTTGCAGACAAGCTGTGATCAAGTGCATTAAGCCACAGCAACACGGTGATATGTTTCACAATCTGATGATAACTTTAGCTCGTTCATTTCAAGATAGCATAAGTTTACCTGGAGCTGCGATCATGTTAGATGTGTTGCCTCCACGGTCCACATTGTTGTCATCTTTCAGGCATCCTAAGTATTTTCAAATAGCTGGATTTATTATTTTAGACGGGAAAATTTTGGGGAACTCTGTTCTTCAGCCACCACACACACCCCCACCACCCGCAGCGAGTGCCGACAGGCAGCTCTGCGGGAGTGCGCGGGGGAAAGTCTGCAGCGGAACAGACCCGAGGAAAAATAAACAAAAAAACGCTTTCCGTTCTACGGTATGACAGAAAATTTTAGTGGTTTTCAAACCGTGACTTTTTCATATCACAGTAAACCTTGAAACCGGTAGTCGGCCCATGCCTAGTCGAGAAGCTGCCAAAATGTTAGCAATGCAAACATTCATCATGAAACTGCGACAATCCAAACCCATTTCTGCAGTTTGAAGGGAGTGTGCAGGAGCCTTTAAAGCCCAGTCCCCCTCACAAAGTCACTATCCTCCTGTCTAAAGAGAAAAACGTCCACACAAGCGTTAAACTGGGGGATATAGGTAGACCCACATTAACCTGGCGCCTCTCACTGTGGGTTCCTCCAGAGTGGAATGAAGTCCATCTCTTAAAGAGATTAGTTCCAGAATCCACTCTGTGTGTTGAACCCTGCTATTTCTAGTTGTCCTAAGATCCAGTTTGGTCGGCTCGGGTCAACGTGCCAAAGCTCCAGCTTTGGTTAGTCCATAGAACATCCCACCTGACCCATATGGCTCCTGCTGCAGGTGGTCTGTGAGTCCATGAGCCTGCCTGGGCCCAGTGGATAGAGGCCCATTCACTGGCCACGTTGTCAACAAATCCCTCCCACAGGCTATGCTTCATAGGGAGGCCCAGGTTCATCACACAGGAACTGTCTGCATCAGGAGCACACACACTCCACCAGCACAGTCAGGTAGTGATTCACAGAGTCCTGCTCAACCTCAACATTATATTTAAGACTGAATTGCAAATGTTCCCCAACTAGTTTCCACCAGTCGCAGGGTTCATGCC